TGTGGGCCTGATGTTGTTAGACTTTATTTACACTAATTCCAACAATTTTAATGTTGTTTGGCGACATCAGTGAGTGAGCTGGTTCGTGTTAAGATGCATTTCACTGTTACCTGTCATTTTACTTGTTACTTGAAAAAAGTAATCGGATTACAGTAGCGTTACTGCCCATCTCTGGTTAAAACACAATAAAAAGGACAGTTTTTCAGGAGGTTTTTCTTGTGTTTGTCAGTTTCCTGAAGTGTACTGCTAACAAAGACAGCAAGTGTGTCTGACCTTCAACCTGGTCTGTGGCAACCTCTTCCTGCTCCTCATCTAGAGCCTGAAAGATGGCTGTCAGGAAGAAAAACAGCAGCTCACACAGAGGACCCTCAGGATCAGAACCCACCAGAGCCTCCTCCAGAACCTCTGTAGGGAGACAACAGTCAAACATCGCAGTCAGAAAACTGGCAGAAACTGGAAAACTGAACAATAAAGGTCCTGCATCTCTGTACGTTAGAACTAACTCAATGTTTCACTTTGATATAGGTATTTGAAATCAAAGTCCCCTCTACCAATGACTGAGCAACAAAACTGTAGAAGTTCTAAATAAGTTAAAGAAAAGAATTTGTCTGTCTAATGGACTTTACATAGAAGAAAAGAAAATGAAAGAAAAGGCAGCAGATTATAAATAGTCTGTATTTGTTTAGTGCTTTACTAGTCCCTAAGGACTGCAAAGCGCTTTACACGTCCAGTCATCCACCCATTCACACACACATTCACACACTGGTGATGGCAGCTACATTGTAGCCACAGCCGCCCTGGGGCGTACTGACAGAGGCGAGGCTGCCGGACACTGGCGCCACCGGGCCCTCTGACCACCACCAGCAGGCAACGGGTGAAGTGTCTATAATTAGAACCTCCTTTATCTACATATCACTTTAGCCACAAAACAGCCGAGCATCACACGTAAGCAGTCTGGGAGCAGAGTACAGACGAGGACACGCTGGAAATGTTAAACAGAGAACAGGAACACAGATTTCAGAAACATTCGTTTTAGTTGGGATGGTTATTGTACTTTGAACATAGAAACAATAACATTTCACTGAAACTGAAAACTACCAGAATCAGAAAGATTAGCCCACTGATGGCGACGAGCATCCTTGTTGCTGGATAACAGATGCAGACATTCGCTGCAGTTTATCTCCTGAGAGGTGAAATGTTTTCATGACAGAAAAAAAAAAAACTACAAAATTTGACAGGGTTTCAGAGGGGGGGGGGGGTTATTTGTCCTGATCTGTAGGACAGACTATGAAGGAACTGGGTCCCTTAGACACTATGCAGTACAGAAGCCTGAACCAGTCTATTAACCAGTTCTGGTGACTGAACATTGCCCCATAGATAACCTTCACTCTTCAGCCAAGTTGTGTATATTTGTTGGTAACTGTGCACGCCCGTGTGTGTGTACCTATGTGCAGCCTCCTCCCTCTCCCTACGGTGCTGCTCAGCTCTAATCTCCCTCAGTTCGTGCCTCGCCGCTCGCTGCTCCTCCACACAGTCTTCAATCAAGTCTCTGCTGGACGCCAATGTCAGCACCTTCCCCACCAAAGCCTGCAGGA